TTGTGTATTATATGCAGTTAGCAAAATCAATAGATTTTTTAAAAATGAACTATGGAAGTTTGAATAAAATGGTATGATATATAATAGGGATATTTTGTGCATAAAAGTAATAATTTTGAAGATAAGCAGGTTTACACTCTTAGAATTATATTGGCTACAGATAATACTATGTAAAAAAGTACATATGCATATAAGTTCTAACAGGACAGATGATGTATGAAAATGTTCTCTGTTGGGTTGGTAAACTCTGATTTTTATATTTGGTTATTTTTTTAATCCTTTAAAATATATTCTTTGAGTAGTTTCATGGCAATTTAACTAAGCATTCAAAATATACTATAGTTTTCTTTATCTGGTGTTAGAACTACAGAGTGAACATCAGTAAGCCAAACATTCAAAATCCAGAATACTCCAAAGCAACTGTGACACAAATGGAAAAGTCCACACCATCACACTTTTTTTCATGCTCAAAATTGTTAACAAACATTGTATGAAGTTATTTCAGGGCTGTGTGTATAAAGTGCATACAAATCGTAAATGAATTTGGTGTTGGGACTTGGTTCCATCTCTAAGCTGTCTTATCATGCATATGCAAGTATCACAAAATCTGAAAAGTCTGAAGTCTGAAACACTTCTGGTCTCAACCATTTTGGATAGGGATACTCAACCTGTATCACAATTTCAAATTTCTTAGTTTTTTCTCTTTTAGTTATGTATCTCAGTGTATTTTTAAATTCATTATTTGCAAACATAGCCAGTCCTGATGGTGCGTACTTGTAATCCCAGCAAGTTGGGAGGCTGAGGCAAAAGGATCACTGACTCATTTGAGGCCAGTTTGGGCAACTTAGTGAGATTCTGTCTCAAAATAAAAATTAAAAAGGGTGGGGCGAGGGCTGGGATTGTGGCTCAGCGGTAGAGTGCCGGCCTTGCGTATGCGAGGCCCTCGGTTCGATCCTCAGCACCACATATAAATGAATAAATAAAAACAAAGGTATTGTGTACAACTAAAATAAATATTTTTTTTAAAAGAAAAAGGATGGGGCTAGTTCAGTGGTAGGGTGCCCCTGGGTTCAATCCCCAGTACCACAAAGAAAGAAAGAAAAGTTTTTGCAGATGCGTTAAGAAAATAGTTTTTCATTTCTGTAAGTTAAGTGCGAGTGGGGCTCAATCTGAGATTGTGGGCTTACTCTCACTGGTCTATTTCTGCTCAAGACCCACTCAGAGAACAGGGTTCCTATTCATCCTGGCTATTGCTTTGTCTCTCTGTTGGTAAGCATTTCATGTAGCCAGGTAGATAATGAAGAAAATTTTGATTTGTTTTACATTATAAAGTAAAATATTCAGTATTCTTTATATTTTTTCTTCTTTCTGAAATGATTATGAGCAAGTTCCCATTTGGGAAAAATTGTAGCTACCCCAGCCGGCCTGCTTCTTTTCTGGTCTCTCTAGGGATGCGAGCATGTACACAGTGACACTTAGTCCTTGCTAAGGTAGATTATTTGGCCCATCATCCTTTTCTGTTGAAAAATTATTAGCTCATCAGAACTTTCAGGGGGATGGGGAGTACTGGGGCTCTAACCCAGAGGTGCTTTACCACTGAGCTACATCCCCAGCCCTTTTTATTACTTGAGACAGGGTCTCACTAAGTTTCTGAAACTGGCCTCAAACTTGATATCTTTCTGTCTCCGCCTCCAAGTTGCTGGGAGTGTAGCTGTGTGCCACAGCACGGAGCTAATTCATAAGAACTACACAAATAGGGAAGCATCAGAGTGTGGAGAAGAAAAAAAAATAAAACAATGCAAATCATGCTCTTGCTGTTTTCTATCATGTATATCAACTTTGTTGTATTGTGGTTTCTTAGGACAAAACAATAACATGGATATATCTGACTAAAACCAAGAAGTGAAAAAACCTGAAATCAGCATTTTATTTGCCTATTTAAGAAACCACAGTCTTAACTTCTGTGTGGCATATGTACCAACTTGTTAGGACATAGCAACTAAAAGAATGTCATGGATTTGAACTTAAATATTTACACATTTATCCTTCTAAAATATTCTTTCAAGTGATATTAAGCAAATGCTAAATATAAATATCTATTTCTACAGGATGAAGATTTGAAGTGGGTGGAAGAAAACATCCCCTCTTCATTCACCGATGTGTAAGTATCCTCCGTTACAGTCTTAGTGTAGGCTGTGGTTTAACGGGTCATTCTGCTGTCTCGTGCTTCTCAAACCTCACCTCTCCATGGGTTTTGTGGGCTCCTCGCCTGGGCATGGCTGTTTATTTCTTAAGAAAAATCAACAAAAACAAAGTTCTGGCTTAGTTTCTCTTTCCTTTTTTCACGGAACAGGAAGTTTAATACCAGTGACCTGTGACAAAGGCCCGCTTTTTTTGATCTAGTTATCAGTATCATTATTTTGACTTAATTTTTGTTATGGAAAAGTTCAAACTCATGTAAAAACTTTTTATGAACATAACTCACAACACCGAGTATCGTGGGGAAGCTTTTGGAGGAATGATGTGACCGTGGAAAAAGTAATCCATAGGGATCCCTTTGGGGAATTTTGAGCTATTGACATTCCTCTATATCTTTGTCCTGTTCAACACGAGAATTCCACATAGCAGTTTCCCCAGTCAAGACAGGACAGCCAAGCATGGGGACGTTTCCTCATACTGTTCTGTCCTCCCTGCTCCCATCTGTCCCTCTCAAACAGTTCTGTCTGGTCTGGTATTCCCTTTACCTGAAGAGTGTCCTATTTCTTGTAATGCAGCTGTGCTGGAAGAGAATCTGTCAAATTTTTGTTTGTCTGAATAAGTCTTTGTTTCTTTTTTTTAAAACAGTATTTTTCTAGGTATAGAATTCTTGGTCAATAATGTTTTTCTTTTATCACTTCAAATGTTGTCACTTGCATGTCTTCTAGGTTTCAGAGTTTCAGAAAAAGTCTAGTTTTTTTCCTTGTTCCTTCATGTTATATGGGTTTTGTTTGGTGGTTTTAGTTTTTGTTTTTGGTAGCCCTAGACTTCCTCTTTAGTGTGTTTTTAGAATATGGTGACTCTGTGTGTGTGTGTGTGTGTGTGTGTGTGTGTGTGTGTGTGTATGAATATGTGTGTGTACACATAGATTTCTTTTGTCTTGGCTATATACCTAGAATTGAAATTGATGGATCATGATAATGTAGTGTTCAGCATTCTGAGAAATGGAAAGCTGCTGTGTTATTTTACATTCCTATTAGGGATATATGAAGGTAACAGTTTGTCTGTGTCCTTGCCAGTACTTGTTATTGTTCATATTTTTATGTTATCTCTTTCATTGGCTATGAAATAGCATTTCATTTTGCTTTGAGAGATCGATGTTATTTAAACTTTGGTAATTGAAATTGATGCATATCAGGTCTATGAAAAATAGGAACTACAACCAACTATTATATTTTTTTCTTTTAACAGAAAAGAAAATGTGTATATATTCTTTTATATTTACTTACATATTTAGTATTTCTTCTTCCTAACATGAAACATGAGCTAAGAGCCTTCTCCTGTGGGTCTCTATTATTCCTTACAGTATGGGTTTGCTGGCAAAAATTCTGTTTTATTTATATGAAAATATTTGTTTTGCCTTCCTTGTTAAAGGATGGTTTTGCTGGATATAGAAATCTCTGTTGACTTTTGAGCACCTTCATATCCTTCATGACTTTCACATTGTAACTTTAGCATATTGACTTCCTTCAGGTACTTAAAGCTCTGCCACACATCAAGGCTTGGTTAAGCTTGCTGAACATTTTTATACAAATGTCTTTTCTTTTTATACATACTGTCTCTCCTAGGCAAAGGATATAGGTCTTTTATTTTTCCTTTTTTTTCGGGGGGGGGCTACCAGAAATTGAACTCAGGGGCACCTGAACACTGAGCCACATCCCCAGTCTTATTTTGTTTTATGTAGAGACAGGGTCTCACTGAGTTGCTTAGTGCCTTGCTTTTACTGAGGCTGGCTTTGAACTCGCAATCCTCCTGCCTCGGCCTCCCAAGCCGCTGGGATTACAGACGTGTGCCACCACACCCAGCTATTTTTTTCCATATTTTTTTATCGGCACATTATAGTTGTACGTAATGGTGGGATTCGATGTTCTATATTCATACATGCACACAATATAACAATATAATTTGGCCAGTATTATTCTCAGTAAGTCCCCTTTCCTCTCCTTCCCCCCCTCCCCCCTTTTTTTTTTTTTTAAAGAGAGAGTGAGAGAAGAGAGAGAGAGAGAGAGAGAGAGAGAGAGAGAGAGAGAGAGTTTTTTATATTTTTTAGTTCTCAGGGGACAACATCTTTGTTGGTATGTGGTGCTGGGGATCGAACCCGGGCCGCACGCATGCCAGACGAGCGCGCTACCGCCTGAGCCACATTCCCAGCCCCCTCCCTTTTCTTTACTGATCTCCCTTGAACCTTTATTTTTTTTTCCTCTCTTGTTTCCTTGTATGAGAGAAAACACACTACCCTTGACTGATTTGTCTTTTGTTGCTTAATATAATCTTCTCAAGTTCCATTCCATTTTTCTGCAAATGACATAATTTTATTTTTATTTATGGCTTAATAAAGCTCCATTATGTATATATACTACATTTTCTTTATCCGTTCATCCATTGAGCAACACCTAGGCGGGTTCCATAGTTCAGCTATTGTGCTACTATAATATGGGTAAGCACAGATCACTGTAGTATGAATACTTTAATTCTTCAGAATAAATAATGAGGGGGCTGGGGCTGTAGCTCAGTGTAGAGTGCCGGCCTCATATATGTGAGGCCCTGGGTTTGGTCCTCAGCACCACATAAAAATAAATAAAGATACTGTATCCAACTTCAACTGAAATTTGTGTGTGTGTGTGTGTGTGTGTGTGTGTGTGTGTGTGTTATTTTTTAAAGAATAAAAAACGAGGAATGGTATAGTGAGCTATAATGAGCTCCTGTTTCTCCACATTCTTTCCAGCATTTATTGTTTGTATTCTTGATGGCTGCCATTCTAACTGGAGGGAGATGAAATGCAGCCTAGTTTGATTGTATTTCCCTAATTGCTAATGATGTTAAACATTTTTTCATACTTTTGTTGGCCATTTATGTTTCTTTTGAGAAGTGTCTCTTTAGTTCTTTTGCCCATTTATTAATTGGGTTATTTTGAGTTCTTTGTACCATCTGAATATTAATTCTCTATTAGAAGAGCAGCTAGCAAAGATTTTCTCCCATTCAGTAGGTTCTCCTTTGCCCTGCAGAAACTTTTTAATTTGATGCCATCCCTTTATTAACTTGGCACTATTTCCTAAGGTTAGGGGTCTTATTGAGAATGTCATTGGCTGTGTCTACACATCAGTGCTGACCCTACATTTTCTTCTAGGAGTTGCATAGTTTCTGGTCCAGTCCTAGGTCCTTGATCCACTTTGTGTTGTCTTAAGTGCAGGGTGAGTACCGGTGATCTAGTCTCATTCTTCCACATATGGATAACCAGCGTTCAGCACCCTTTGTTCTTTTCTCCAGTGTATGATTTGTCAGGAATCAGATGATTTTATCTGTGTGGATTTGACTTCTAGTCTGTACCATTGGTCTGTGGCTGTTTGGATGCCAGGACCATGCAGTTTTTGTCACAGAAGCTCTGTTGAATTCAGCTATTTTGATTCCTCTAGCGTGGCTTAGAATTGTTTGGCTAGTCTGTCTCTTATTCTTTCAAATTAATTTTAGCACTTTTTTCCTAGTTCTGTGAAGAAAGCTGGTATTTTAATGAGGATTGCATTGAATTGATTTATTATTTTTGGTTATATTCCATTTTAACAATCTTAATTTCTGCCTATCCAAGAACATGGGAGGTATTTCTATCTTCTAAGGACTTCTTCAGTTTCTTTCTTCAATGATAGTTTTCATTGTAGAAGTCCTTCATCTCCATGTTTAGATTTATTCCTAGGTATTTTTTTTTCCTGATTTCTTTCTCAGCAGATTCATTATTGGTGTTTAGAAAAGCTGTTGATTTTGTATGTTAATTTATACCTGCTACTTTACTGAATTTGTTTGTTAGCTCTAGAAGTCTCTTGGTGGGGCTTTTGGATCTTCTACGTAGAGAATCCTATCATCTGCAAACAGTGGTAATTTTACTTCTTCCTATCTAATTCTTATTCCTTTTATTCTCCTCCCTTGACTAATGCTTCGACTAGAATTTCTAGTGCTATATTAAATAGGAGTGATGAAAGTGGACATCCTTGTCTTGGTCAGATTTTAAAGGAAATGCTTTGATTTTTCCCCCTTTTACTATAAGGTTGGCTTTAAGGGGGTTTGTATATAGCCTCTGTAATGTTGAGGTCAGTTCCTTCTATCCCTAATATCAGTTTGTCGCTTTCTCTGTATCTTTTGAGATGATTGTGATTTTTTTATGTCCTTATTTCTATTTATGTGGTGAATAAATTTGTTGATTTGCATGTATTAAACCATTCTTGCATCCCTGGGGGGAAAAACTTGAGCATGACACGCAGTCTTTTTAATATGTTGTTGAATATGATGTGCTAAGACTTTTAAAGGATTTTTGCATCTAAGTTCATTAGGGAAGTTGATCTGTAGTTTTCCTTCCTCGATCTGTCCTTATCTGGTTTTGGTATGAGGGTGATCCTGGCTTCATGAAATGAATTTTTGTGTTCCATCCCTTTCTAGTTTATGGAATAGTGTGAGGAGAATTGGCATAGTTCTTCCTTGAAGTACTGGTAGAATTCAGCCGAGAATCCATCTGGTTGTTGGCTTTTGTTTGTTGGAAGACTTTTTATTACTCTTCTGTCTTATTTCTAGTTGTGGGTCGGTTTGGGTTTTCTCTTGTTCTCCTGATTCACTTTTGGCAGGTTGCATGTGTTTAGAAGTGTATTCATTTCTTCTAGGTTTTCCAATTTATCGGAGTTTTCAAAAGAATCTCTAATGATCTGCTGAATTTCTATGATGTCTATAGTGATTTCTTCCTTTTCATCTCTAATTTTATTAATTTCGGTCTTTTGTGTTGATTTTGGTTATTTGGCTAAGGATTTATCAATCTTTTTATCTTTGTTTCACTGATCCTTGTATTTTTCTTAATTTTCAATTTCATCGATTTCAGCTCTTAATTATTTTCTTTACTGGTTTTGGAATGGGTTTATTTTTCTTTTTCTCAAGGACCTTGATTTTCTCACATGGCGCTCATAGCTGTAAACCTGCCTCTTACAACTGTCTTTGGAGTGTCCCAGAGGTTCTGGTGTGTTGAATCTGGATTTTCATTCAAATCTAGGATTTTTAAATTTTTTAATTTTTCCCCTGATTTCTTCTATCACTGATTCATCATTCAAAAGTGTTTTGTTCAGTCTCTGTGTGTTCATGTAGTTTCTATATGGGTTTTTTTGGTGTTGATTTCTATTTTCTTTCCATTATCATCAGATAAAATGTAAGGAATTATATCAGGGTTTGTTTTTTGTTTTTGTTTTTTAATTTCCTTAGTTGCCTATGGCCTAAAATATTATCTGTTTTGGAGACTTTTCCATGAACCCCTGAAAAGAAAGTGTATTTGTTAGATGAACTATTCCATAGATGTCTGAGGAGTCCATTTTACTTCCAATATTTACTGAGTTTCTGTCTGGATGACTCTGTGTGATAGTGAGAGGTGTGCTGCAGTCACCCAGGATCATATATGCGGGGTCTCACTGAGCCTTAATTTGAGTGGTGTCTGTTTTATGTGATGAGGTGCACCCATCTTGAGGCATAAATGCGTACCATCGAAGTGTTTTCTTGTTAAGTGTTTCCTTTGCCAGCGTGGTGTGACTGTGTCTTCTGATTAGCTTGGTCTGTCTGCTGCGTCGTCGTGTGAGAGTATCAACTTCTGCCTGTCTGTAGCTTTCCTGAGCATGTCCAGGCAGCTTGGGAGACTCTGTCCAGCACCTTTCCCAACGTGTTGACCCTTTGCCCTAAGACAGCACTAACACACGTGAGAGGAGTGTTCTGACTAGATGGCAGATCACCACTCGGGTAGTTCCCCAGCTGTTCAGAGAAAAACATAGCAAGGAAGTGACAAATAAATCTGAACTTGGATGTCAGTCATGTTTGGAATTACTCATTTGTGTATTTTTAGTCTTTGATATTTCTTCACCGCATTAAGCTCTAGGATTGCTTATCTTATATTGAACCCAGGGCCTTGTACAGTTTCCTTTCTGATATAGAAATAGCCTGTGGTCCACTTCCTTTCTGAAGTTAAGATTATTCAAATTTTTCAGTTAAACTTTTGACAAAAAGTTTAACTGAAAAATTTGTTTTGTTTTGTTTTGTTTTTGGTCCTGGGGTTGGAACTCAGGGGCACTCAATCACTGAGCCACATCCCCAGCCTTCTTTTGTATTTTATTTAGAGACAGGGTCTCACTGAGTTGCTTAGCGTCTTGCTTTTGCTGAGGCTGGCTTTGAACTCGAAATCCTCCTGCCTCAGCCTCCCGAGCCCCTGAGTTCATATATAGGCATGTGCTACTGTGCCTGGCAACAAAACAGTTTTTAAAGGAACACACATTCCGAAAAGTGTTCATATCCTAAGTAAGTGTATAACCCACTAAATTTTTTAAATGAGTACATTTGAGTAATCAGCATCCAGATCAAAAAGTGGAACATGACTAAGCCCTAGAAGCCCATGTTCCTTTCCACATAGGGGGCCACCTTCCCATAGGTTCTGTCGTCCGACATCTGGAACTGTAGAGCCTGTTCATTTAAAAAATTTTCTCCCTCAGTAGCTTGTCCATCGTCTTGGTTGTATGGTATTCCATTGTTTGAACATGTCAGTTTCTCCAGCTGGGCTGTTTCTAGCTTAGGGCTGTTGAGCACAGTGCTGCTATGAAAACCCTCCTCCTCGTCTGCTAGAACCTGGGTGTCTCTGTGTGTCAGCTCAGCTGAGCATCTGCAGTGGGAATTGTGGACCACAGGCTATATCTATATCATTTTCCTAGATTCATTGGCCTACTTTTAATAACACTGTCACTTTTTTTTTTTTTTTAGAGCACTTCCAGTGTTGGTGGATTCCGATGAGGTAAAATATGTTTTTGCTTATTTCCTTAGAGCCGGTATTGTCACAAAATAGAAATGTACTTCAGAAAGAGATTCTGAAAGTCGCTTTTTAAAATGAGTATGGGTTGAAGAGACGGAAGGACATTACGAATTGACTTGTGATGAGGCATAAAGGACTTCTGGGTGAGGTCCTCCTTTAGCCAGAAGCAAGATTAATGCTTGTTGGTAGGAAAGGGGGGGGGTCTCACTTTATGAGACATTCAGTGAATGATTCACTAAACCCATGTCTAGGTAGGGTTGAGAGGATTTGAAGGGGCAGCTTAACCTCTGACGCTGTGCATATTTTGTTGGGGTAGTAAATAGTGTTTCTGTTTGGTCTCCTCGTTCTTCACTTACCAACCAGGAACTCTGCATCAGGGGTATGGCCTAGGAAGTTCAGGGGGAGGGTTGGGGTCACAGGATGTTCAAGGTTGCCTCATGTTTGAAGTGCCAGAATGAAGGCTGGAGGGGGGAGGCCAAGTTCAGGTGGCTGTGGGAGATGAGCTGCTGCTCTGTGTTCACTGAGATGCAGGAAATAACTTTGCATCAGTGTCATTGGGGTTGGTGGCAGGGGAAAGTTTGAGAAGGCTGTAACTTCAGGCCTTAGGACTCTGCTGAAAGACGCGCCTAGAATTACTTTAAGAAGATGTTTGAATTATTCACTTGATGGCAACTGATTCGTGATCTCAAAAAGACCTGGATTCCGTGAGGCCAGGCAGATCCAGACAGATCCCGGTGGGCTATGCTGCGATCCGCCGGCTCCTGCCTCTGCTCCCGGGGCTCTGAGCTCGTGTTTTCTGGGCAGCCAAGGGCTGGTGCTTTGTGGCCGTCAGCAGGTCCCTGGGCATTCTGAGTGTGTGTGGACTGTACTTTCACTGTCTGTATCTGATACTTTCCCAACATGGAAAGCGTAAATCGTGATTTTTGAAAGATTAAAAAATTCCATCACAGTCTTGGAAGAAGCATTTTGACAGTTTTTCTTCTCCCTCCAGGAAATTATGACCAGATCTGAAATAGCTGAAAAAATGTTCTCTTCAGAAAAGATTATGTGATCGGAATGAGTATAAATAAAACCAAGGTCACGGCCTCGGACTGTAATGGGTGGGAGCTTGTTAGGGGGCAGCCAGCAAGCTCTGGCCCTGCTGCCCTGGACATCACGTGGTAAAGGAAGGACTCAGAGGAGGCTGTGCATCCTCGACAGCTGACTTCTCCGTGTCTGCTGGAGTGAGTGGCTGGACTTGGAAGTCATCTGAGAAGAGCACGAGGAGGAAGCCGTGTGCACAGACGCTGGTGATGTGCCAGCATCGGATTGGGGTTCTCTCTTTTCTCTTGAAAAAAGGATCATTCCAGGTTTCTTTAAATTATATAAAGTCTCCTGCTGTTCTTTCTATTCACTTTGAGATAGATAATGTGATTCTTCTGAAGTAGAGCGTGTCCGTGTCCCCATCTTTGGGATTTATAATTACTAGAAGCAGTAATGATTTTTTGTTTTACTTTTATACTGATGACTTAACATTGGAATGTGGGCATGTTGATATGTCTCATTTTGCTTTTTCTTTGGTCTGCACAATGCCATTTTTTGTGAATACCACCATGAGCATCAGATCATGGAGTTAGGTCTTCTCTGAGCTCAGGGGAACACATGTGCACAAAGAGAAAAGTCTTAAGGGTTCCTTCCACAGATTTGCTCTGCCACTGCCCCTCCTCAGGCCACGGGTACGCGAGCTACTGCTGAATCTGCTGGGCAGGTGGTGGACAGCTGGCCACGTGGTGCCCCACAGCACCTCCTGCCTGGCAGGTTGGGAGGCCCATTACTTCTAAGCCTGGTGGAAACTAGATCTGTGTCTTGTACACAATCTTGGCATCTTCGTCTTATAATAAAGGCACATTGAACTGCAGAGTACATCACTGCTGATCTGGTAATTGCTTTGTTAATCTTCAGCCATGTTTTGCTGCTTATTTGTCACATTTCTTGGTGACATATGGGTTGGCAGGGTTTTGTTTTTTTTTTTTTTTTAGTGTCTTTCTTTAAAATAGTGTGGACATATGCAGTTGGACATAGTGTGATGAAACTGTGAATGTGCCACTCCTTCCATGACCAAAGATAGAGGGCTGGCAACCTGTGAGGCGGTGATGAGGGGCGCATCTCGCCTGTCCTCTGCAGGAGTCCAGCCTGTGAACTGAGAGTGACTTCAAAGCATTTGAGAAGACAGGAAAATCTTGACCATCACAAATCTTTTTTCTTCACTGTAAAGCCTGAGAATGGTTTTCTTTCCTCTCAAAAGCCTTTCTGACCTGCCTCCTGTGGTTAGAAAGGAAGTTAGTAAGAAGACTGCCTTCAGGCAGCAGCTTCTCCTGGGAGGCCTCGCCTCACAGCGGTGCTCAGCGGGGAGCCCTGGCAGGACAGGCAGGTTTGCCAAGTGGTGCTCGCTCTGGACACCCTTCCTGGGAGGAGAGGGGCTAGTTGAAGGGTTCTGGTTCCATCCTTCGCTCAAGTTTCTGCCAGGGTGATGGCCGCCCACCGAGTTTCCCAGCACCTGGGTCTGCTCTGGTTTGGGTGCTCTGCCTTTGCCCAGCTGGTTCAGGACTGGAGGTGTCTGCTGACCTCCTACCCCACGGTTTGCAGTGGGTTGACCCCTGACTCGGCACACAGCTGGGGTTGACCTCAGAGGCCGAGTCCTGGGCCTGCAGCCAGGAGGCACGTGAGCATGGTGGGTGGGAGTGGGGGCCGATGGCAGGTGTCACACTAAGGGGAACCAGCCCCCACAGGCCTTGCTGCTGTTCATAGGGACAGTTCTTTCTCCCGCCATGTAGCTCAACAGGGACTGAAGGGCAGCCGCTGCTCTCCACCCTCAGGAGACAGGTTCCCTCCTTCTGCTGCTGCTGAAGGGCATGTGCAATGTCTATCCTTCCTGGTGGTGGTGTCATCTGTATTTCTGGGGAGTAGGAGGGGCTGCCCTGGCACTTGGCTTCCAGGCCCAGGGAGGATGGCGGAATGTCCTCAGGGCGTACAACTCCTTCCTCAGGGGCCTCCAGGCCTGGGGCCTGCTCTAGGGGTTACTTTAGGAAGCCTTGGCGAGGCCTAAGGGAAGGGCCCACTTTGGTATGAAGTGTGAAATTTGCCTAAGAGGAAATTTTCATGATTTGAAGTAGATTAAATATCTCCTTTAAAGTGTAGTCACTTTTTTGCAAAAACTAAGGAAAAATAGCTGATTATTTTATGCCTAGAGGTAATTTTCCCTTACTTTCTTGTAAAGGAAATATTTTTTAATCTTTCATATCCCTTCCCCTCTGTATTACAGAACATTAGATTTGCACTACTATAACGTCGACTCAAAGTATAAAAGTGTATAGATAAGTTTGATTCTATATCTTCCTTTTGAAAGCGGTCTGGGGAGCCTCCCTGGCTGTCACGCTAGGGAGGTCTCTGCTCCTAGTCCTTGTCTTTTGTGGCAGCAGCAGGAGACAGCCCTGCCCAGCACCGCCCTGCACGACAGAAGTTTGACACGGGCACGTTTTTGAACATATCAGCTGTATGTATGTAAGTGACAGAAGTCGATTTTTAAGGAAGTGTATGTTATGCCACAAGAACTCATGGCTGGGTTAAGAATCTTCTTTAGAACTAGGAAAGTGTTTTATTCATATATTTGGGGAGAAATTTTGGGGGCTTAAAACTTGTATTTTTTATTTAAAAAACTTAAATTATTCTATAACTTGAAAGAAATTTCTTTGAATATAGGACATGACTATTTGAAGGATTTTTGTTTGAAATATTAATGTATTTTTGTGCCTTAAAATTGGTTCTTTTAATAAAATGCTTTCTGAAAGTTTAGATGATTGATGATTGATAATATTTGAACGATAGACTACATGACTCTATAGGAAAAACAGACTTCAGTAGATGGCAGGACTGAAATCCTTCAAAGAGGAGGGATATTCCATTAAACAAGAAACTGTTCAACCTTAGTAGTGATACAGAAATGCAAAACAAAAGGTTGGGGAAATTTCTAAAAATCTGGTTAACCTAAATTTACGTTCTTTATAGACATCTGTAAAATCCCTTTGCTATCAAGGTCTGGTGAACTGAGCAGACTCATTAATGATGGTGAGAAATGACTCATTAATGATGGTATTTGTGAGAAGAAGTTCATGAAGTTTGGATGGTATCAATTTTGGTGATATTTTAAAGGACGGCTCAAAATACAGAATAAAGTTTCCGCACAAACGTGTATTGTAGTATTCAAGATGAAACTAGAGGCAAGTTTAAATGTGAACAATAGGAAAATTATTGCATTATGGTTTAACTGGCTACTTTGGGGACACTGTGCAGTCATGAAGTTATCACAAAGAATTTATAACAACAGACGAATACATGTTGCTTACATAAAAACAAAAGAATTGAATAGCAGTGAACCAAAGTGGCACTGTGGTCACTGCTGTTGGGGTTCCACCCCAAAGTGGTCCCCGTGTGATCCCAACCCTTCAGAAGACTGAGATGAAAAGAGGACGACTCTTGTGCCAGCCCAGATGGTCACAGAGGTGGGGAGGCTGGCCTTCCAGGTGGTCCCTCAGGACCCCCAGTTTATTTCCATCCGAGGCCACCATTTGCACCCAGCCAGCGGAAGGAGGAGGGACCGCTCAGAAGGTTCTGGGACTGGAGCAGGAAGTGGCAAGCATTGCTTCTGGCAAAACCTGGTCCTGTGGTCACACCAGACTGCCAGCAGGCTGGGTAGTGCCAGCAGGCAGGGTAGTGCCAGCAGGCAGGGTAGTGCCAGCAGGCAGGGTAGTGCCAGCAGCCCGGCTGCCTCCTGCCTTGTGGAGCAGTGGACAGCAGCAGGCCTAGGAGCTTCTCCTGCCTTCGCATTACCTAACTTTCTAAAGCTAAGGTGTGAGCTTTGCCTAGGCTGCATGGGAAAGGCTGTGTGGCTTCAGGTCACAGCTGGATCCCTGAGAGCCCCACCTTGCTGGGACATGTGGTGCAACATGGGGACATTTCTTCAGGGACCTTCTCCCAGCCTGATGTTGGGGGCCAGGATGGGAGCCTGGAGGAGGGCAGGGGCATGTGATGACTTGGGACCATTCACAGGGCACCAGGCTTAGCCATTGACCCCACAGGAGAGGCTTAGTAGCCTGCCTTAGGTAACCCACCCAGGAAAGTGACCAGACTGGCCTAGTATTAGCAGGAGTCCTCCTTGAAGGATTGTCCTCAAGTCCTGAGGGGAGTGGAGGCTCCATTTACCATGTCCATGTTTGCTTCTTGGAGGGTTGATAACATGTCTGAGGAACCTGGGGCACTGCCCTCCTCGGCCAGCTGACGTCAAGGTGGAAGGTGCACAGGAAACCCTCTGAAGTTCAGGTACATCACCTTAAGAGTAAGTTGCCCAGAGGTTTCCCATGAGTGACCTGGGCTTACAGCCGAACACCTGGGCTGTGTGACGTAGGCTGGCGTGATAACTCAGATGAGAATAACTTGGGTAGCATTTCCTTAAAATTATTTTGAAGAATAAGAAACTGCAGTTTATATACAGGAAAAAATTCAAAAGCCATCCAGCAGAGGGTGCCAAAGTCATGTCTCCTAGAATTCCTAATCTCGACTCTTTGTCCTTAAATCTTGCCTTTAAAAAAATAAATACAAATATACTTTTTCTTATAAAATGCCATTAAACAGATTTAGGGAGTAAAGAAAATAAACTTTAAAAACATAACTTTTAGGAACTGGGGTTGTGGCTCAGAGGTAGAGAGCTTGCCTAGCATGAGGCATTGGGTACAATCCTCAGCACCACATAAAAATAAAATAAAAGGTATTGTGTCCACCTATAACTAAAAAATAAATATAAAAAATAGGCTCAGTGGGGTTGTACGTACAATGACATTTACAAACAATAATATTAAAATAACATAACTTTTGAAATGTTATAAACTAAACATGTGCGTAGGGTCTGGGGGTGTAGCTCTGTGGTGGAGCTCTTGCCTGGCCTGTGCAAGGGCCTGCTTCAAACCCCACCATCCTAAGAAAGAAACTTACAAGCAGCCAGAGAGGTGGGACTGCACCCACAGGACTGAGGCGCGCTTTGTGTGCTGGTCACCCTTGCTGCCTCATTTCCTGTGACCTCATTGTCATTCTAGCCTCCAAATTCAGCTCTTAATGCTGGTGCTCTGCTTTGAGTCCATCAGTAGGGACCTCCTTGGGGTAGAGTGGAGCCCAGAGGGTTAGCAGCAGTGTCTGTCTTACACTGTCCCTACTGAAAATAAAATATCCAATTCTATGAATTTTGGTATTTTTCTTTTTAAAAAAAATGAAGTCTGGGCATAGATGCATTGCATCCAAGAAATTAGTTTAGATATTTATATCAAGAAGGAAAGAACAGGTTGCCTTTTCCACTGCCTGTACACTTGGAAACAATATCCTTATAAAAGGCAGTTGCAGATTTCCCCTTCTGATAATGGAGGAGTGCCTCTGTGGCACCTGCCCTTCCCACAGACTGCTCTAGACAATTAGAGTCACGGCTACCTGGAGACAACTGGACTGAGGAGGCCCAGGGCACCAGAGGGAAGTCAAGGCTTGTGTGAAGGAAACTGCAGGCTCCAGTTCACAGGGAAAAGAAACCCAGACTTAAAACCGGGTTCACTGGTTTGAAGAACTGGAAGAGCTCAGGAACAGCACAGGGGCTGGGAAGTACAAGAGGAATTGCTGAAGAAGAATGCTAGCCATGTCCCCAGGGGATGGTGGCATTGGGAGGGGAGGCCTGGGGAAGGTGATCAGCTGATGAGGGTGGGGCCCTCAGGAGTAGATTAGTGCCCTTATGAGCGATGCTCCTGAACTCCCTGTTCCTTCTGCCATGTGAGGACACATGGAGAAAAGAGCTGCCTGAGAAGAGAAAGCAGGCCCTCCCAGACAGCACCTGGATCAAGCCTTCTGGCCTCCAGAGCTGTAAGAAACACACACTTGTTGTGAAGACCCCCTCCTTGTTATAGCAGTACACGCTGGTCTAACCAGAGCCAAAGCAGGTAAGCACCAAATTCTGGATCTAAAATCTTCCCTTGGCTGCGTCACGGGCTCTCCCTCAGCTGTGTGTGTATGGGGATGACTGCATCCACCTCCGGCTGACAAGTGGAACCTGCAGATCTGTTCACACCACAGGAGACCAAACCAGACCTTGATTCCAACCAAGTAAATTGCCTACTAAACAAGAACGTGAGGGTGACATCAGAGAAAATGGCAGAATAAAGACCTGAAAGTTTGCCCCTTCATTAGGAAAAAAAAAAAAATGCTCACTGAGACCCTGTCTCAAAATTTAATAAAAATAAGAACTAGGGGGCTGGGATTATGGCTCAGTGGTAGAGTGCTCACCTAGCATGCTAGAGGCACTGGGTTCAATCCTCAGCACCACATAAATGTAAACTAAAGATATTGTGTCCACCTAAAACTTAGGAATAAATATTAAAAAAAAAAAAAAAAGAACTAGCAGCTGGGTGAGGTGGCGTATGTCCATAATCCCAGCAGCTTGGGAGGCTGAGGCAGGAGGATTGTGAGTTCAAAGCCAATCTCAGCCGAAGCCATAAGGGACTCTGTGAGACCTTGTCTCAAAATATTTTTAAAAGGCTGGGGATGTGGCTCGGTGGTTAAGTACTCCTGGATTCAATCATCCCCCGTACCAAAAAAATAACTCTCAGAATCAACTTTTTCAAAACCTTAGAAGTTAACCAATAGCAATCTGAGGAGCATTTACTCAAGAAAAATGGCAGAACCTCAGTAAGAAGAGCAAACACTGTGGTGTTTTAATATGTCTTGAGTCCGGAGCTCAGTAGCAGCCTTGAAGAATAAGGACCAGAATGGTTTCAGAAAACAAAATCTTCAAAAACGAATATTGGAATATAACTAACAGAACATTGTCAATGAATTGAACAACTTGGGTGAAATAGACAAATTTCTAGAAGACACAAATTACTGGAACTGACTCAAGAATAAACAGTCTCAATAGACCCATAATAAGTTATGAGATTCAATTAGGAATTGTTTTTATGACTTCACCCAAGTCCAGGCCCAGATGGCTTCACCACTGAACTCTACAGACATGTAAAGGAAATTATTATTAATTATTCAAAAACTCTTCCGAAAAACAGAAGAGGGAACACTTTCCAACTTATTCTATGAGGTCAGTATCACTCTGATGCCAAAACTAACCAACGGCAACACAAGAGGGGGAAATAAAAACTGCAGACCAGTGTCTTGCATTAATTACATGGAAACAAAAATCAGTGACATATATACAGCAACACATAAAAAGATTTATACACCTAATGCAGTTATCGGTAGATACAGGAAAAAACATTTACCAAAATTGAACGCCAAATAAATACTCAACAAACCAGCAAGAAGGGAATTTCCTTAGCATGATAAAAGGCATCTACAAAAAAAAAAAAAAACAGAAAAAAAAAAAAACTTCTTAGTTAACATGATACTCAAAAGACTGGCGCTCTCCCTCTGCTGAGGTCTGAATGTTTGTGTCTGCAATACTAAGATGAAATCTCATCCCCAGTGTAGCAGTATCAAGAAGTGAGGCCTTTACAGGTAATTAGATCCTGAGGGTGGAGCCTCATGAATGGGATTAATGCCCTTGAAAAGAGGTACCTCTTCCACCGGGGAGGACACAGCAAGCAGGTACCATCCTGGAGGCAGAGTTTGAGCCTCATCAGAGACTGAATCTGCTGGCACCTTGATCATGGAATTCCCAGTCTCTGGAACTGTGAACAGTAAATGTCTGTTATTGATATACCAAGTCCAAGATATTTTGTTATAGCAGCCTGAGTGGACTCAGACACCCCCTCAGC